AGTTTTGCGGTTACTCAGAATCAATCAAAAATGAAACTCTTCCTGTACATCTCAGTTCTCCATTAATAAACAGAGATGCCTAATAGCTAAGTGAAACTCGACAAAAAATCTTCCTAATGGATTTCGGGCAGGCAAACGCTCGCATTTCTTTTGAAATATTAATAATAATGGTGTGAATGTTAGCTGTCTGGAAATTTGATAGAAACAGGACCTTCACAAACAAATCATCCATAATTCATCACTTCCAAAGAGATGACCAAAGTTCTCACAGACAAGTTCAGCAAAAATCACAGATGACAAAGACTTCCATGAAACATTTGAAACTAAAGTCCCATGCGTGAAGGGAAGATTTTTTAGCTAATAACTACTCCTTGAATTGCTTGCTTTAACTCAAAAAAAAAAAAAAAAATGCGTTAAATATTACAAACCCTGTGAAAACGATTAGCGCTTTCGGCAATCTGACTTCCGCATGCTGCAGACTGAGACCACTTTGTACGATACAATACATGTGGATGACGTCGGCCTTTATCACCTCCGTCTAATGGCCAGATACCATAGGCTGAGCCATTATCAAAAGCAATTATACCACTGCAAAGGCACAATTTTTCAGTCGCTGCTAAGAGAAAAAGTAAGGGGAACACCAGCAATTTTAACAAAAAGCATTCTGGGAAAATTTACCGCAATCCATTACACGTTGATAAAGCGACAAATGAGGATTCTTCACCATTCACAGTGCCCTGATAATAGCAATTCTCGATGCGCCTACTGACCGGAAAGTCACCACCGCTATCAAGCTGAAAATAGGTATGTGAGCAGTTGAAATCGTCAAAAAGTCAGAGACTGAAAGCAGATTTCTGGTCAAATTAGGTCATATGTCACAAATTTTTCGGTTCATGGCGCTAACCACTGGGGAATGAATTTTAAACGGAAAAGCAAACGGGGTGAGGGGTTGCCTCAATCATCGAGAAAGAATTTTAAAAGAGGAAGAGACGAGAAGTGTTGCATTAACACTTAGAATGTGATTTTTTGAAAAATATGGACGGGAGAAGATGGGGGAGAAGCAAAAAGACAAAAATTCAAGAATTTCAAGGACACACAAAATGCACAGAGAGTCTTATGCCCAAATGAACAAGGAATGCCTGAATGTCGCTGAGGCTCGAGAAACCCGACGCACCTTTCTAAAATTGGTTTCATTCACAAATAACAGTTCATTAAGGCCCAACAACAGTTTCAGACGTCCGATAAATGTGCTACGGATAACGATCGTCACTTGCTTGTAGTGGACAGTTCCGTTCAAAAAATAGTTCCTGCAAAAAAAAGACCAGTAGCGCGTGACAAGTCCAGAAAGAAAAGTGCGAGAATCAACTGATTCTGAGAAGCCCGTTTCATGCCCACATAATTGTTCACTAATATTTCAGTAGTTGATATTTTAAACGGCAACTCGATCACTACTGGTGTGTGTATATTCGCTAGATTCTTCAGCATTGTAATCGACAAGCATGCTATTTTTTTTTATTTCATGCCATTTTGTCTAATACTGCATCGCCTGGTAGTCAGTCTTTTGGTGATCCTCACGGTCCTTTCGTCTTCCCTAAGATGCGCAGATAAGCACACTGTACTCTGTTAAACTGAACGCAACATTATGCTAAGCTGATTG